AAGAATCGCCCTGTATACTTTTAACCCAAGGTGAGATTATTTTATCACTATATGAATAACCATTTTCTCGGTAAATAACCGTGTTTATGAATAAACATTATGTTTACACGATTTGAAGTCATTAACAATAATACAACATGTTCGAGAAAAAAAAATCATTTTTTTTTAGTAAAGTACCATCGCAACTGTTATATTCTTCTAGGTAAATATATAAGTATATTTATTTGAAATTCAGACATGGCATAATGGTATCCGCAAAATAATGGTCCACTATATAGTCTTCTATAATTTATATAAAATTTGAATTCTTATGTAACTAATAGGTAATTAACCATCATGATTGGGCCACTGACTGGATATTAAGTCATAAACAAAATCATATTTTACCTATTTGCAAATGAATAAGGTACTACGAAATTATTTTGTTTTCATCCGTTGAAATTGTAAAATGAATTTTGAGTTTAAATGATTAAAAGCGCGTGTAGTTATAAACGATATTTGCTATTCATTTTTAAATTACAATAAAATCATTTTGTACGTTGACATCTGACATGTTTCAACTATAATTTGAATAACAAATTGGTTATTATATTAATTTTTATTATACCGCTTTTGATAGTAAAACATATTTAAATAGCTGCATAAAATATTGAGCACTTAGAAAAATTAACAAGTCGAATTTATACAATCTTTTTCAGTTCTTATTTAAGTAGATATTTACGTAGTTCCGTCTGTACTAGGGGTGTCCTTAAAACCATTTTTAGTAAGGTGGTGAAAACTAAAGGTTACGTAAGGTTGAGTGTTTGCATATTACCTATATATACTGTTTTAAATTGCTTATAAATGTTTATTTTAATATTTATTTTATTTTATAATATTATGCTTTAAGAGAACGTCATAATCGTATAKGTAATGGTTTCTATATTATTACTTACGTATAAATTAGCGTCAGACCAAATTTTACATCCAGAATAATAAATTTTACTCTGTTATTTTTAATAATAGGTATAGTGATTTGACATATTATGTGATCTGAAGGTAAGACTATTATTTAGGACCCCACGAAGGTTTTTGTTTATATTTTATTTTTAAAACAAGTTACGAGCGTTTGTAAACTGTAGTAAAATATCTGAACGATTATTCTAATTTGGTATGTTGTGCATTAGACAGATGTCCCCCGTCTTTCGAAGAGTTCGAAGACGGCCCGGGTCTAAATTAAATTACAAACTTCGCGATTTAATATAATATGATAATATTGTAAAATACACTTTTTACGCATGCAATACTAGTTTTTGTATGGAACACCATTATAACAGGTTTTTGACATTTTGATTTTGAGGAATAAAGCACTCTGTCGTTGTCATTTCAATTATTGTACCTTGGCTTCTATAACGTTAATTCCATGAGCATGACCAAATACTGGATAGTATCGTAATCGCTAATACACATATAAATATAATATATATAGGTACGTACTTATTCGTCTTTCACGAAAATAACATTACCTTTAAAAAAAACTTGTCATTTCCAATTCCGTTTGTGAATAGTTAGTTACACCAATAATTATACTCTTTTCATTTTAAATTGAAATACTTTTTTCACATTATTCCTATTTAACATTTATATATTTGAACAGTATGTTTATATTTGTACATATTGTTTACTTTTATTTCCTATATCTACATTGACTACATTTATACTTGGGTACAAGTATTTTTTAAACAATTTATGAGTTTATTGCTTGGAAATTAAAATACCGTAAAAAACACAAATTAAGTACGTATCTTTAAGATTGATAATAGGTCTGATGATTATTATTAAAAATCAATACACAAAATTGGAACGCCTGAAAACAAATTTTCCATGTCGAACGTTTGTAAGAATAGATGGAAATCACATAGGTGTGGGTATCCTCTTAAAGATCCTAGTGTACCAAAGTTAGGTAATAACTCCAAAATAAAATATTACACGAGCCACATATATTTTTGTACACTAACTATAATATTATACGATGTGATCCATTTAACGTAAGACTATCGTCGCTCATTATTTCAGAAAACTATTTTTAAGATGTTTTTTTTTTTAATTACAAAATACATTTTAATTGGATATTCAGAGCAAGATATTATTTTGAAAAATTCGGACTATAAAAATCAAATTTTAGATAAATAGTTTATCATAGTTATAACTTATAAGTATTTTAAGTTAAAATATTGGAATAAAGAATTAAAAAGGTATATTGCCATTTAAAAAAAATATAGAGATAAAATATATATTTTTTTAGAAAAATAAAAATATTATTTTTAACTACCTACATACAATTATGTAAAAAATTATTCAAACACGATTATAGCTTTTAACTTTTAAGAAATGTCTTCGTTAAATGGATCACCTGGTATATATGTATAAAATGCCTCGAATTAAAATATTATAAATCAACATTAATTGTGTCTGGTATACAGATATTATGTAATTGAAAACTCGTATCATCACTTCAGGGCACAACTGTTTTAAAATAGCAAATATACCTATATGGATTAAGTCTGAAAGTAGTATGTATGTGTATTTAAAAACAATTATGTGTCATAATACATAATAATATGCTCGTTTTTAATAATTTAATTTAAATATACATTAGGATTTAGTAAGTTGACGATGAGGAACAGTAAATCTTTTTCTAAATGGTGTTAAAATTATTCCTAACAAAATAAGTGGTTTTGTTGGTTTTAACACTGACTTTACATTAAATAATGATACATGTTATTTTCCTATTTCTTTTTAAAAATATTAATATTAATATTTTTCTTTGAATATATTAAGATAATATGTGTATTTAAAAAATAAAGTGGCGGACTATTTAATATATTTGCATTTACACAACTATTCGTTAAATTTTGAATTACCTTCATCTATATCAGACCATTTTAATTATATAATATATATATATTGGCATATTGCAGTAATAAATTACTTTCAGTTTTTTTTTTTTAATGGTATTTCCATATGGTGGCCATATATATTATACCTATTTTACCAAACGGAGTTTTAGGTTTTTCATTTGAATCGCATGAATGTCATAAAAGATTTTCTGAGAAAACATATTATATAGTTATTTTATGTTTTGATTAATATATTGAATTGTAGACTCATAAATTAACAAATTCGTATACTAGCACTATAAATAGTGTATGATTTACCTTAGTTAGTCGTTACAATATGTTATCGGTTCAGATTAAAAAATCATTTTGTGCCAATATTTATGTTTGTAGATATTTACTAACGCGCGAGTGACGATTGTTATTGTTATTATCAAGTTACTCTAATATATTATATACTTTTTCCAATTTTCTTAGTGTTTTAAACAGTTGATTCTTGTCGATTTTGTTTTTTTTTTTTATATATAGGTATCTAACTGCTAACATATAATATGATAAGCAGATGTTATATTTTGTTTGTTTTTTTTATATCCTTATAGGTATCTAACTGCTAACATCTAATATGATAAGCAGATGTTATCAAGATATTATATTAGTATGGCAATATTATTGACCGATGTCACTATAATTAGTAGGCACCTAATATAATATAGGGTGAGGGTCATAACTTATAAGTTATAAACTTATAATTTTATTATAACCAATAATAAATAAACTCGGTCGTTAAAATAATATTTATTTGTGCAAAGTAGGTATAATGAAAATTATGTTATGTGTGTCTGTTTGGCGAAAATTGTGTAAATAAAATAATAGCGTGTTGGTTACGGTCGAGTAGTCAACCAGGGGCCACAGCGAAGTCAACACACCGAAGCCATCGAGCGAACGGGGAAAGTGCAACGGTAGGGACAGATGATCCGTGGAGGTGACGAAAAAATTATTCATTACGCGAGCATGTCTAATAAACGATTGAAACATTTTAATATGTACATAAACATTTTTCTTTCGTATTTGAATGACCAATTGTTTTCTTTTTTTTTTTTGTTGTGGACAATTGTTATTTGTTACAGTTACTTAATAAACAACGTCCATGTGACTGATTCATTAATGAAATTATAATACAATATAGGCCCATAAAAGTACAAAACATTTAACATGAAAATAAAATTATAATAATCTATTTAACTATTTAGGATTTACAACATATTAAAATATCTTCGGTAGGGATAATCATGGTGCATAACTGTGAGGAGTATTATAAATAGAACTATATACGTTTAAATCAACGATTAAATTGTTTAAATACATATAAATTTTATCACAAATCCGTGAGCATAAAATGTTAATCTTTTTGATATGGTTGAACACGATATGGTATTATGTTCTGATTATATTATTTAGATAAAGTTGACATCTTTGAAACCACAATTTATTATATTCATGATAGATTTAAAAACTAGACTCTATATATGGATAATGGATATGTGGTATAAACATAAAAATAGTTATAGTTTACAATAAAATAGTTTATTTTCATTTTTAAAATTTTTAATCTATTTTTACAAAAGAGTTTTTAATCAATCTATTTCAGTATAGTACAATATGAACAATTGATGGAATAATTATAAAACTAAAATTTTAAAAAAAAAATCTAAATTTTTTAGAATGTATATATAAAAAAGTACAATAAGCTTAACAGATCTAATACGAATTTTCCTAAATTATGTTATAATGGAGCGGCTTGAGTGACTTAAGTGAAAAATATCCTCACGAATTTATAAATTAATTAAGTTTTTGTTGTTTAACTTATAAGATCTTGGGGCCATTATTCTCATTGAATCATGTTTGATGTGTAGGTTGTTACTTCAGACTTGTCATTAATGCACATACGTAGGTACCAATGTACCATATACAATTGCAGTCCCATAAAAATCTAATTATATTGTAATATGTAAAAGCAATACAATAGATGATGAAAATTCTTCATACATATTTACATGTAATATATTGGGAGCATCTTAACACTAATAGAAGTGTACAATAAGTAATTTAACCGAGTGTATTTAAAAGTTTTAAATGTGTAATATATTATATTATTTACGTATAAATAATATATAAATAATCAGTCTCAAATTCAAAAAATATTATTGAGTCTAAATTCAGTTTTCAAATATATAATTATAAAATAAAATATAGGTATATATAAACAGTATATACTCTAAATAAATAGGCTTAATAACCTAATTAGTATATTTAATATATAGAATACAGTATTGAACAAAACTAAAATAAGATTTTGATTTTTGTCAATCAACATTTTACTTTTTACTACAAATGGTCAATATTTTAATGTATCCTGCAAAACTGTTAAGTCAAATTAAATGTTAGGTACTCAATGAAGAATACCAATAATACATCATAAAAACACATTATTTAGCAATTTAAAATGTATTATATTATGTGGTTAAATAGAATGTAGAATATACTAGGTACCTATTTAAAGTTGATTATTATTTATTTCACTAGGTCCGTTTTGTCCATAATACGATGCTTAATATTTTACTATTAGGTTATCACATTGTATTTATAATAATATAATAATATGTTCATTTAATTTAATAGAAAACTGAAGAAAGATCAGTACCGATTGCTATAAGAATACACAGAACTCTAGAACTTGCGGACGATAAGTATTACGTAATCACATGTGGCAAATCAGGATTCAAGAATTCCAAGTAAGTAATGTCTAATGTCTATGGACTTGAACTTACCGATTAGATTCTACTATTGATAAAAAAAAAAAAAAAAAAAAAAAAAAACAATGAGATTATAACATTACATTATTTTCAGAAACGAAACGTCGTTGGTATCATTAAAATTCCTCGAGAACGGCAAAAGAATTCAGGAAGTTGTTTACAGCCATCCTTACACACTAAGGGCTGAGATATCAAGACACGATGGTAAAAGAAAATAATATTTTATTAGTATTGAAGCTTTAAATAAATTGTTTGCGAATACCTAGGTAGGTAGATTAGAAATTTTTCATGTGATTAATTTGGTCCCAAATATAATTCCGAAAAAGTTTGTCCCCAAAACGCCAAAACGTATACAATTGTATCGGGTATTAAAGGTGTAATTTCATTTTATTGCACACGTGGTTATTTAATAATCATTGATCAATGATATGGAATTTCGAAAAAACTAAAATTCAACAATTTTAAAACGCAGTTGTAYTTGATTTTTTCGAATGGTAACAAACTAACAACTTTATTTTTATATTTCAGAATAAGGCTATAATGTATATCAGTATATAAATAAATTTGATTTAAAGGTATATTATTGATTCTTATACTGCGATAGACTTTTCTAACGCTGTGTGAAAGTGTTTTTGTTACAAATTACACGCTTCGTAACAATTCAAAATTCAAATTCAACATTTACTCTCAATTTGCGGTTTATTAAATAATAAACACGCGTTATAGTTTATTAATATTTCAAAATTTTGATTAATTTAATGAAGTAGAACAAACATTATAAAATATATAAGTTGCTTGAAAAAAAAAAACCATATTTGTTCATACCTATCTATTACATTATAACTATATTCGGGACCGGTCCAATGTGTGATTTACCGATAAACGGCTGGTTTAATGTGTGATCTTCCAATACATGGCTGGTCCAGTATGTAATTAACTTGCTATTATTTTGCTTTTTATAATATTCATACTGCAAAAGTATATTTTAAATCTGATAAAAAATCATCAAATATTTTAGTTTGTATCGGGTGGCATGACCGCAACCATTCTTCTTTAAGTTTTCGGTCTAATAGTGGAGATGCACCATTTACTTTTATATTATACTTGGATTTGACTAACTTCCACAAYGACTCTACTGTTTGGGTATGAGCTCTAGTATTTGGACCCACAAAATTTTCAGTATGATTTACAGTTTGATAAATAAATCCATGGTCCTTCAGAGAACTATATTATGCTCGCTGCTGATCGCTATACACCGTTGACCAATTTCTACCTCTCTTATTTCTATGATTGGTATAAGCGTTTGTCGATCCCTTTTTTTAAAATGAAAAATCGACGTTCAATTTTCGTTGTCTTTATTACAACACAAACCAAATAACTACGGTCCCTGTATTCTATTTCCATAATTTCGTTGGTTATTTTCTACCGGAGTTTAATTTTCATCATTTGAAGTTTCGTCACTATCTTCATGTGATCGTGGGCCGTAATCACTACGTTATAAGCAACCGCGATTATATTTTCGTTAAAATATAGGTACCTATCTGTTATCGGTAGATCACACGTCGTACCTACAACGTTTTTTCGTAGATACCTACCAGTTTATCGGTAGATCACTCATTGGACAGGTCCCCGATATTCGTGTAAATTATACCTGCAACTATATTATAAGAGATTAAAAATATGTATATATATATATGTATTTTTTAATGTTTCAAACAACACAGGTGCCTATGGAATACGCGTTAAGAACTGTTTTGCGTTCAATAAGAGGAACAACAGCGTCAACCTCATCAATGAGCTCGGGTAAGTGAACCCTAACGAAACTGCACATTGTCGTCGGCTACAAAAGAGATCTCCTGCTGTATATACCGCGTGTAGCACAATTATGTGGTTTTTCTAGTTACAACTTCCAAAGACTATGAAATTAGTGGTTTAAACCGTGATTGTTTTTTAACTCGCTTACGTCTGCTCGAGCGTTTCTAAGAAGATGGCGTTCGATGGGATTTTCTTTTGTATACTTGTCTATTATTTCGATTTGTCAAATAGCCGCAATGCCCTGAGAGAGTACTGCAATATAATACGTTTCTTCTCAAAACACACGGTCTCTTCGTATATCGTCAACAATTAAATATAGTTAATGGCTGATAATATCAAACCGGAAACATTTTCATGTCGTGTAAAATCCATCAACAAAAAAAAAATTATACATAATATATAGTTATAACAACTGCTAGCAACTTTCATTGGACACTGGACAGTAGCCGATTTGATTACTATATATAATACAATAGGCACTTGACAGTGTACAAAATTCGTTTAGAAGAATGCTTCTGATTCTTCTGAATTTCCCGTGCCCCGGCACTTTGCTATCCATTGCTTGGGAAAAAAAGATTTTTTATTTTTCCACGAGGAACGTGAGGAGGGGAGAAGTAATCGAATTAATTGTTTCTATTTTTCAAACGGTATAATGTAATATAATTATTATAATTATAACCAAAACGACGATGTACCCTAACGATGTTAGGTATTATCTAATTAATTATGATCGTTGTGTGCTGCAGTTGCCCGGCAAACACGAAGGTCATCACGCCGTTCAAGTACGATCCAAAGTCGGGGTTCGCGGACGCTGCTCTGGCCTCGATGTTCCGGTTTCCGGACAGCCCGGAACTGTACTTCCAGTGTGACATCGAGGTGTGCCGGGGTGCGTGCGCGGAACCCGATTGCGACGGCGTGTCTGCGGTGCAGTTGCAGCAGCAGATAAAGTACGAGTTCGCAGTGGACTCGCCGTCGGAAAACGGCACGCTGACGGCCAGCACGACGGTGTTCGTGCTCGAGCCCGGCGAGACAGCCCGGAGCCTGACGCTGTGCGACGACCCGGCCGACGGGGGCATCCGTCCGCCGTGGCTGCTATACCTGTGCATAGCGTTCGGGCTCATGTTCCTCATCATGCTCGTCATCAACGTGTTCCTGTGCTCGGCGATGACGTGCTCGTGCGCCCGCACCGACATCATTGAAAAGGAGCCCAGCATCATCGAAGACTACGACCCGTACCGCAGCTGGCACGGTTCGCAGTACGGATCTAGGTAAGCAGATGTCCCGGTGGTATATGCCAAGTATAAACGATCACGATATTATATTTTTATATCAAGGGCGATGTCGGTTCCAGTTTACTGCATTTCTGTACAATTTGTAGCATACCTATATTATCAACAAAAATGGCTTAATACGCGGGKAGAAAACTCTCACGTCTCGTTGATATGTCGAATTTCGATAATTTTATTTTCAATCTGAAAGGAGAACGTTTTCAGGTCGGATCAAAGCTCTAATCATTTTCATTTTACTATAAAAAATACTTTGAAACTTGTAAAAATAACAAAYATCACCATTTTATTCAAATGCATATAGCTTCTATATGACTGTAATTTTGAAAATTGATCTTTAATCCGACCATTTCATATTGCGTGATAAATTTTCCTGTAAGACACGTTCTCGTACTAAATACGCACCAGTTTCGACACCCTTATCAATAGCGTATATAGGTATAAGGAAAAAGATCGACGACGATAAACAATGTTTGATGGGKTTCGGGTATGGGATTACCCTCTCGAAGCCTAAATTCTCTTATTCCAAATCAATAATCGATATTTTATTACTACATAGGAGCCTGATATTTGTTTCCTTAKAAAAATAAAATAATATTATATTTACGTTAATTAATACGGTAAAAGCAGGTACATTAAGTAGCGGTAAATTTATAAACGGAGGCCAACGGCCAACTGCATCCTTCCAGTTCGCAGGCCTCCGTGAATGAGACGATCGATTAGGTACCATATTCTATTAACAATATTAGAATGGACATTTTATGCAAGCATCAACTGTCGCAGTTTTAAGCATAATATGAAAATAACTAATACCTAAAAATAGTACGAAATGCGATTTKATTGTGAATATTATTTGCAATCGTTGATTTTTCTACCTCGATCTGTGAAATGTTTTTCCGATAAACCATTAATWACTATTTTTTGAAATTCAGGTATTCATTAAACGGCAAGCCGGGATACGTATCAGGTGGCTCTACAATGAATTCKACTCGGTCCATGTCCACCAATAGCGACCATTATGCGATAGTGCACTCGCGACCAGGAAGTCGGTATTCGGGCACCGCCAAACATCAGCCACATCACATGAGAGGACCCCCGTCTAACATTGGATCACATTACTCTGGAAAATAGTTAACATTTTTAAAATAATGTATTAGTATATATATGCATTATATATAATATAATTATTTGGTAAAATTATCGTTTATTTCGGAGAGGTAAATAGATTTTACCTGTTTTTTTTTTTTGAAAATAGATATAGGTATTCATACTACAGTGTACATAATATACTCGTGCATGCATTATGCAGCAGTTGTACTTAATCTTAACGAGAATTATATTTCATAATCTCTCAAAAAACTTAGTTGCCATTATATTTTTTTGTCTTCAATAATTATTTTAAGTGTATTAATATTATATTATATACCTACCTAATTTAACGTGTAAAATAATTTGAATTATTAATAGTTACTATACCTATTATGAGTATCATATAGTGTAATACATTAACTTCCTATTATCGATTTTTATAAAGAGTAATAATGTCTTTCTACATAATAATATAATATACTAGAAACTAGAATATAATATTACAAATCAAGTAATTTAAACTTGTAACAAGTTACTTGTTTCACTTGTGCGTAAATCAAGTAATATAGTATGTCAATAATTATTGCCATCACATCACTGAATTAATTTTGTTATGATATATATATTTATATACATTTGAAATTTTATATAYAATAGGWATATGTTACGTATGTTAATTATAATAATATGATTTATAAAAAATAGTTACCTCTGTTGTATTCAATTTTTTAAACAAACGTGTAAATAATAAAATACATTCAGTAAAATACTTTTAATGTTTTTTCCTTTCTTAAAAATTATGATTATTGGTATAAAAATTAAAAACGGGCGTAACACGATTGCGCACTTTTTACTTTTTATATTTGAGCAAACACAATTAGATTGCAAAAACAAATATTTTATAGTATAGGATTTAAAGAAAATAACAATAGTAAAATTGTAACAATAATAATTGAATATGTTTACCAAGTAGGAAATATTGATGCTTAGTGYGTCTCACAAAAAAACAAATTATAAGTTCATACAATTCAAAAATTGTTCCAACATTTTTAATATAATGTAATACGTATAGTTTAATTACGTTGTAAAAGCAACACATTTGAAAACACTTACCAATCAGTTATTGGTAATAAAATATTATTTTAATATAGTATCCACTAGCTGTAGTAATTGTATGTAGACATAGACATGCGCAAGGGGTGGGTCAGGTGGGCTTTGAGCCACCATGCGACTTGCGAGCCGTACTGTAWTTGTTGAATATGTATATTGTGACCTGATAAATTTTTATCATGAAACTTAAATAATTCAATTACAAATTACAATTTTCAATAATAATAACTAATTAAATAGGTACATTGAAAATTGAAAAAATTGAATCGATTAAATATTTTAAAGTATTTCTTTAAGTATCTAAATCATAATTGAATTGGCCCAGCCTGTCAAAAAGGTCCACGCACGCCTATGTATATAAGTACAAGGTATTGATAACATGGTATTTTTTTGTTATAACAAATGAAATAGTTTTTGTGCGTAATCGAGCTATTTTTTTTCAAGTAAAAAGGACAAAAAGGTAAAAAGTGCGCAATCGTGTGGCACCGATTAAAAATATGTCAACATTTTATTCTACGGTAATAAGCAGAGCTCGGTACTTAGATCACTTAAATCATTAAAATAAGCGCTTAAAAACATCATTATAAGCACTCAACTAAGCAAAAATATTTATCAAAACATAAAAAATTTTAACAAAAAAATCATACAAAATATAAATAAATCTGCATCTTTATATTGTAAAATAAATTAAACTTCACTTTCGATATTTTAAGGAATTTATGGATTTGTTATTTTAATAGTATACATTTGTTTACACATTTTTAATGTATTGTGTACTTATGTTTAATTTACCATGCATATATAATATATATTTTATGACGTGTGTTCAATCTTAAAGGTAACAGGAAATATTTCGATCACATCACTTTTAGTTTGATTTGGGTTATAATTACTGCCTACATGACATATAAATACATCTATTTTTGATAAATTCTTATTCTTAACTATGCTGCATCCTGCATGCACAGTAAAATAAAAATTTCTTAAATAAAAATCACTATTTTTGAGACTGGATTTGGATTGCTTTATTTTTTCTTAACAACTTTGATATTTACTGTTTCTAGATGTCTCATAAAAAATAGTCCAACAGTGTTACATAAGATGATCTAGAGGGACATTGTACTGGAACAAAAAAATATCTCCATCCATTTATGATCAAAAGTTTGGTAGGTATTATCAGTGGCGCCAAATTCCTATAAATCTAGTAGGGCAAAAAATATTTCAAGAGGCCCAGCATCTTAATATCGGCAAAAATGGCATACCGAGGAGAGAATAATGGTCAGTATGAAGTGGCCCTATCCTAAATTTTCAAAATATGTCGGGCAATGACCCGACCTTAACATAGCKTTCWGCACCACCGGGTATTATAGAATAACTATTGCATTATGGGTGGTAGCCCCATCTTGTTGAAGAAATAAATTACCTAAATTAAAACTTTTGACTATCCTAAAAATGTCAATTTTTAAGATATCAAAAAACTGTAAACATCAAAGTTGCTCAGAAAAAATAAAGCAATTCAAATCCAGTCTCAAAAATAGTGGTTCCTATTCAAGAAATCTTAATTTTACTGCGCATGTGCCGATAAAAATAATTAAAAATTAGAACTTATCAAAAACAGATTTATTTATATGTCCTATAGGCAGCACAAAAGACCCAAATCAAACTCCAAGTGATGTGTTCAAAATATTTCTTGTTACCTTTAAAAATGAACACACGGTATAGTTTTAATTATCAGTATTTTTTAGGTGAATARAAATAGCTATACAATTATATTTTTACAGTAAATAAAACATATTTTAAAAAGATTGATAGGTTTACCATAACAATTTAAGTAATAAATTATTACATAACAAAATACAACATAGTTATGTATTTTTTGATATTAAACAATAGATTTTTAATACAATTTTTTAAAATGTTTGAATCGTTTTAATTATTACATTATAAACAATCGTTATAATTTAAAATAAATAAATAAATAAATAAATATTGAACAGTACTATAGCTTATAAGTAGGTAACATATTTTAATTAATAATACAATAATAACACAAAGATTAAAAATTAAATAAATTTAGAATTCTATGTTTAGACAAATAAAAAAATTGACTATAAACCAAAATGAACAAAAAAATAATCTATAAAAAGGAACATTATTTTTTATTTTGAAACTTCTTTTGTGTGTATTGGTAAGTGTTTGGGCTGAAAATTATAAACCCAGATGATACATTTAGTAAAGAAAAGTAAGCACCTATTACAAATTTATTTGGTATTTTACATGGTTTATTGAAAATTTAAAAAGTAACAATATGACTTACCATAATATATATTTGAGTTTGTAAAGATCTAAGTAGTATGTCATTTAAAATATGTTTGAAATCATTAGGCTCAGAAGTACAGCCAATGTGCATTTTTGGTAATGTTGAAACTCCAACAACAAGAGGATAGAGATTATAGTGCAACTTGTAAGTGCTTTCAGGCAAAACTGTGATGTTCAACTAAAATTACATATAAATATGTATGATTATAATATTATATATGTTTTTTAAATACACATACGTCTTTATGTCCAGCCATCATAAATGCTTCGTTGGCTTCCATTGATACATCTAACGAAAGTAGTGATTCAGAGTTATTATGTAAAAAGTATACAACACTCAATGGCGTGTGTAACCATCCATGAGCTGGTAACTTCATGTCTACCTAAAAACAAATTTTATCCATCCATAAATCTATTTTAAAATTAAAATAATATCATATGAAATAACCAACCAAAAACGTTGATTTTTCAACTGTAATTTTAGGTAACTCTAAACTTGAATATCCACTTTTACATTCATTGTCAACATTAGTTCTGAAACATAAAATACATTAAATTAGTATTCATATTACATAGTTTGTAAGTTATAAATGAGTTGAATTTAAAATATATAGTTAATTATAATATTTATTATTACCTTTTCCAATTTATAGTAAAACAACCTAAAATATTTTCACTTAATTCAGAGGGTGATACACATATTACTTCTGAAGCACATTCATCAGATTCTAAAATTACTCCATTTAGTACTGATTGGTAACTAGTTGAAATATTAACATGTTTAGCCTGAAAAATAAAATAAAAGTTCTACATTGTATTTAAATGAAAACAATTTACTAGAACGTTTACCAATTGAAAAGATGTATTCTCTATAATTATTGGCCATGGGGAAAGACATTTTATGTTTGGAACCACTATTAATGGTTCACCAACATACACCTTAGATACAGGTTCAAATTTGGAAGACATGTAAGTAACTGATATGTCAAATACAATGCTCACATCTATGACAATTTCTACATCTTTTACGCAAGCAATCTTAGTTTTGTTGTCATCTTCTATTGAATAGCTTATCTGAAATAACAATTGTCAATTACCATACCATAGTAAAAATTAATAAAACAATGTTATTGAAATTATTGAGTAAAATAACAGTGAGTTCAATTAAAACTATATGGGTGAAGTCCAATGGTATACTAATGGGAGGGGGGATATAACCCCCCAGAATTTTTTTAGTATGGTAAAAATTAAAATTTAGGGTAATATATCAATTAAAAATAATAACACTTTATATAAGAAATTTGTTAAAATTATGATATTGTTTGTTATTTTTAGGTGACAAGTTTTCCAACATCAAAATATTTAAACATTAACATCCTCTGTTAGGTACAAGTAATTTCATATTAGAGTAATAATAGTTATAAGTTTATAACGACACATTTACAACTGGTTGTATCATATCCCATACATTTAATTTTTAGGTATCATAATGTTAGTAATAAGTAACCAACAACTTGAATATATTTAGGTTGGAAAATTATTATAAAATAAACTTAATTATAAATGTTTAACCAAAAAAACTTATATAAGTGGATATCCACTTAAGTACTAGTATAAGCAAGTAAGTGCATTTCCGATTTGAAAGAAAAAAAAAACAACAAAACAACAACAGCCATATGTAACATTTATAACATTTCAAACTTTTTAAGTAAAAGTATAATATTGTAGTAAATAGTATTAAGCTATATCGACACAAATGTACCAGGTTTTATGTAATGTTTATTATTATTAAAATGTAAATTGTGTATAGACTTAAGTATTATTTAATGAAACTTTAGATGTAAGATACTTTATTTTGATCAATATCAACGAATATTATAAAATGAAACTCGTTAATAGACCAGAAAAAATAAAATTCAACACTATCAATTATGGTAGTAAATATGAGTTAATTATACTCATGTTATGTTTATTTTACTTATTTAACCAAATCTAATCTTTAAAACATAGACTCTTGGTAATTTATTTAACAAAAACTGAAAGCATTCATAAATATAATTGAGTAGTAAAGACATGCACTATACAATATTGCATATTTATAAGAATTATCTAGCTGATTTTTAATTAACTGTCTCTAATTTTAAAATTCTTATAACTCCTTTATTTGGGTTTTATCATATAGATTTGTTTACAATTACAAAATAAAAACAAAAAATTATACTAACCATAAGTTGAAAGTAACGAGTGTCTAAACTTGAAAATCGAACATAGAAAGTTTGAGTTTTCTGGTCTCCAACAAGCATGTTGTCTAATTTAAAATCTACTGGCAACGGGAAGACATTTTTATCTGGATCTTCACATACCTCAACTGTAAATTATTGATAAATGTTTTTGTGTGAAAAAAATTATTTCTCCATGTTTATTATTATATACTTACTCGAGTGTTCAACCTTTTCATTATTGTTACGATTGAGTGATAAATTTAAACAGAYATCACTAACAGGCCGATCTTCTAAATTTGTCAAACATACAGAAACTTGATACCATTCCAATAATAGTGCAGGATTGTTGTGTTTAATTTCCATGCCTAGTCTAGAACTTCTCGGTTTCAGAGTTGCTGATGTAATCTGTTTGATTCGTTCAAATTCATCATCAGAAGTCTTAGACAGACTTTAACAAGGATTAAAATGATTAAAATACTTCAAATGAAAAATAATAATAAGTAACAACTGATAATTAATGATAAATTATCATGACTTATTTGTGACGTTACAAGCTAAGATTTTCCCTATAATTTGATTAAACAATCAAACATTGTTCTAAATTTGATGAAGAACAATAAATAATGAAAATGTATTTGAATGTCTGGTTGAGTAAAACATTGAACATTGTAATCAGGTAATCTTAAATTTTTTTAAAGTTTGGTTTGTCAGTAAAAATAAGCGTTTGTAACATCACTTAACTAATAATTGTATAATACCTGAAATTATTCATTTCTTTTTCAAAACTTTTAGTTTTTTTTATGGAATTATAGTATTTCAAAACTATTGGAAAATCAGGTTCATTTCCCAATTGTAGTTTAATAGAATTAACCTAAAAAAATAAAAAAGGCTTAACATTTTGGGCAAAAATTTTATTTAATAGCAGATTACATTTATATTTAAATAGCTCAATAATTATCTAATTAAATAATTAAACACAGAAAATTTTCATATGTGGGAATAGATTATTCTAAAGGTCACCACCACACACTGCAGTGGTAGTAGTAAAATTATTTGTGTAGGCGGTGCCCCCACAATAGCGGTAAAATGTCTCCGGCTTCATTTAGTCGTTACCGCTACCGTAGCAAAGTGTGAGGAGTTTGAAAGAAAAAAAATACTACTACATAAATAATTAATGTGTTTAAATAGTATTTAGTGTAGCAAGAATGGGAAGTTAGATATTTCAGTTGAGGGCTGAACTTTGTCCAAGACTGAAATATATTTATCACACATACTACACAAACTCTTTTTTGTCTCTTATGGATACTACAGTGACCAGTGTCTAGAAGTAACTTAGGTTACATGTTACTGAAACAAAATTATTTTTTAAGTAATTTTATGGAAATTTAATAACAAATTGTTACAATTAATTTATACCTAATTTAAATTACTTTCTCGTAGTAATGTTACAAAACTACTAGTTATTTTTTTTTCTTTTAATATTATCAAAAATTATTGATATATTATGTAAATATATATGTGTATACTAAACATAATATCATATAAATATTTAGAATTTTTATTTATAAATTAAATATTCTTGACTGTGATATTTTTTTTTATAGCTATTCTATAAATTTTTATTGCCCATTTGACATAATAAATGTTACTTAAAAAAAAATTAATTCTATTGTAATTAAGTTACTTTTAAACTCATAAGTACTGTAACATGACTTCCCTTCATAAAAAGTAACTTAAGAGTAATTTAGTTAAAATTTTAAAAAGGAATTAGTAATATAATTTGATTACCAAAGAAAAAAGTAACTACCCCAACACTGACTGCGGCATATTAGGACTATTGTGTAAATTTTCAGTGTCAGACGATAATCTACAATGATATATTTTTGTTGATCTCTATTATTATCTCTTATTATTCTCTACACTGTTTCATATTCCAGTATGGGAGTGATCAGAGAAAATATTTACTATCCACTGAACAGAAAAAGGTCAATTTTAAACTCTATGCTTCAACTATCATCAAAAATAAAACTTTTGGTTCAGGTATAATTAAGATAGTTTATTAGGCAAGGTGATTTTAATAATTTTTGGATTAATCCTGAAAACACAATATTTTTTCTAGTATAGGTGAATAATACTTACAGTGATTTCTTTTCCAACGTCATTTGACGAGGGCACAAATTTGCAAGAATAAGTATGAGTTTTTGATTCTCCATAGATAAGTTTACTGCTATCTGTGCAGACCTCAACATCATATACATTGTCAATACAGGTAACACAGGCTATCAGTTTAGAAAATTGCACCAGTATAGGAAAATTAGCCCTGAAGCAGTTTAAAATATATTTATATTACAGTATAACAGACTTAAAACTATTTTTATATTAATAAAATACTTTATAAAGATATCAATTTCAATGCCATCACATGAAACATCTTTTAAAATAACTTTGGTATCGACTGTAGAAATTGTAACTGACATATCAATTTCTAGTACAGATTTTGATCGTAGAGAGTCACATTTTTGCCACTCTTCCATCGATAAATTTTTCTCATATTCATCAAGTGATTTTTCAGGTTCTGGAATTCGCCTCTAAAAATTATAACACTTTGTTTAAATATACATAAGTATTTTAAGTTAAGAAAATTATTTATTGTCATATTATATTCACTTGTATGATTGAACCAATATTGCTCAAAGCTTTTTGGATATCAACATTTTTGTAATATTTCAGGGCTTCTAGATTTAATTCTACATAATTCTGTACATTTGCTGTTAAATAGGCGCATTTTAGACATTTGTTTACTAGTTCATGGGCAATTGCTTCCCAGCCTTCGTCTCGATAATCCCATAACATGTGGCTCCATAAACTGATTTCATGTTTTTATAAAATGTTAATTAGTTTATTCAGCTATATAATGAGATTGATTAGAGTACTTACGTAAGAGCTTTGCTATAATCTTTTGCGTTGTAATATTCATCAGCCATCTGTACAGCTGAAATCAATTAAGAAAAAACATTTAAATGTAAAAAAAAGTTAATATACATATTTAAGAAAAATACCTAACAAATTTCTCATTCTAGGACATTTGTAGTGTTTGAACTGTTTCATTGCGTTTCCTAAGAAGCTGATAATTGCTTTCTAAAAAAAAGAAATATACAGTTCCAAACATTATGTTGAAGATAAATGGTAATTTGCTATTTAACTGATTTAATTATTTACAGAATGATCAACTTGGGTGTTTTCATAAAATTTTAAAGCTTGAACACCATCTGCTTCAATTGTATTAAAATCTAAGTTGTTGAGAGTTTTCATTAGCCGCCATGGCCTTTGACCATAAAATTCTRTATTATTCCATTCATTTAATGGATTACTGGAGGGGTAAACATTTGCATCCTAGATAACATAGTAAYATTTTATATTAAAAAACTAAGTATTGTGCACAATTTAAAAATATTTCTTTTCAAATAAATAATTATATTATATTATATTCAACATACTATAATTTAAGAAATAATAAATTCTAAATCAACTTTTAATATCACATATACATAGACATTATAAAAACTAAGTCTATTAAACATAGTGAAAATGAATTATTATAAATTAATAATTATAAACATTGAACAATATGAAATTTTCACGAAAAAGAAATGTTTGATTCAAATATTAAACAAATAAAGGGTACATAATATGATTTAGTTATACCTGACAAATATTATAGGCACTAATTTTTCTTTTTTTTGCATAGTCTGCAGCTTCTTTAAAGAAAAATCCTGGATTTAATGCCTGAGTAGCTGTAGAACTTTCAGCTGTTGTTTCATCAAATAATGATGCAAACATGGAAAATCTATAAACAAAAGAAATTAGTTCAACTTGCCTGGACAGTGCATGTGAAAACTTACTGTTTAGACAACCAAGAATAGTGTTCAAACATCAGTTCTGGTGGTCCAATCATAGATTTAAACACATTTATATGAGAATTAAATTGAGTCAATGCATCTCGAGCCCTCTTCATTACAAACAACAGTTTGCTTATTTTGTATACAATGTACGCAGCAACAACTTTTATTTCATAGATGTTAGTATCAAAAGTGCATATTTCTAATAAAGACATATAACACTGATGATAGTGCCTAAATATGAACATTTAACATAACAAATTAAAATGTAAGAAATTCAAAGTATAATGGCAGACTCACTTATGAGCGTTATGATGGTCTTGTCTAATCTCATTATAAAATCCAATTTTGAATGAATAGCGAACAATCAATAATTGATGACTGGTTTTGCTTAAATTTTCTAGTTTAGACTTCACAGCTCTGATTTGTTGTTGGTAATAATTCTGGGCCAGATCATAAAATGCATTTTCCAGCCTACGTTTTATAATTAATAAATACAAAATTTTTATCAAAAATATATTTGCACAAGTGTTCTAAAGCTTTATTACCTTATAGCATAGCCATGGATATTGTCTACTACTGGAAGTATAAATAAAGCTTTTGGATTCAAAGTGCAAGCGTCACACAGTGATGCAGCTCTCTCAGTAGTAATATTATCATCRACAACAGGCATTAATTTTTGTATCAACACCACAACAATTCTTGATTTCCTTCCTTCCAGAGACAACCTTGGAATTTTATGTAAATATATTAAATACATAACAACAGCAATAGGAAAATAACAGCTTCTTAAAATAATTAACAATTTAAGTTCCTATCTGTAAATTAACTTTCTCTTAAAAGATAAGTAGTAAATTTATTGTAATATGAAAAACATAACTTCAATTTGATCAAAAATCTTAAGATATCGATCACAAAACTAAAAGCTTAATAATATAATATTAAACAACAACCTAATTGACTGAACTCTGGATGAACATTCGCTGATTTTTTCATTCCAAGATTCGTCATTCCAATCACAGTCGTAGAAAATGACAACAACGGCAGGATCGTAACGAATATGTTTTTCGAGCCAATTCTTTTTTAATATACCTTTTGGAATGTAAGGCATTACACGCTAAAAAAACATAAATCATGTAGTAAGTGGGAGAGAAGTTAATGAGACGTAAAACGGCTGGTTAGATTATTTTGATTCGGACAGGGTAGAAAGCGGTGAATTATTATGTCATATACCTTTTCGCTCAATGAAGGAAACTTGTACTCAGACGTGAGGTGAAAGAAATTCAATACGGCTCGGCTGTCTCGGCCAACTGGACTGTGGAAAGCGTCCCAAATGGACCTGTGGATGGCATTATTGACCGTGTCCAGGCCGGCGATAGCGATCAGCGGACTGGGTGAACAGCATATTTCGGCAGGGAAGTCGAACTCTCTGTAATCGACCATGTTGCATCAATTGTTCAGAGTGTGCGACGAAATTAAAGAAAAACAGTCCGAGAAATTAARTTCAAAACAGTTATAAATTCGGATCACGAATAATTTAATAATTTAATAGCCACAATTTGCATTGCAACAATAATAAAAGAATCACACTATCATAGTGATAGTATCAAAGCTCATTATCATCCACATAATATAAATAAATAATAGGCGTTATCACTTTATCAGTTACCACAAATGGCA